AAATTCCTAAACACCGGAGATATAAGGATGTTTATCCCTTGTCAACCCCTTTGAGCCTAGTAGCAGGAGTTTCTTTCTGAAAACGAAAAACCCTCAATCTTAACCTAGGGCAGGGTAGATGTCAGTTAATTTGACCGAGCATCCAAATTGCAAGAGGAGTGTTCCTGTTCGAGGATCAATCACACCTGTATAGGTCGTACCTAAAGAACCACAGTGGTTATCCTTCACAGACAAGGAGTGAGACAGTCACAATCCCTTCAGCAGGTCAGACAAGTCGGTGTCACATGATTTGTTCAAAAAGAAGAAAATAAAAGAAAAGAAAAAGCCCGCTAAGTCGATAACTTGAAAACAAGTGGCTTAGGCAAAATTAAGGGCATCCCGTTGGACTTTGAAATCAATGATATACTCAAAAGAGTCAGTCCAGGAAAAATAGGGAATGAAATGACGAAAATCAAGTCGTGTGACTCCAGGCACCAAAGACGAAAAGCGAGTGACTGTCACTCCAGAAAAACTTGTGGTTTCCCGAACCATCACTCCAGTCATTCAACCTTTGAGAGGTGAATGTTTGTGTCGAATTATCTGAACATAGGATTGGAGAATATTAAGGAGAGTGGGTGGGTTAAACAGAACTTTGAGCCTCATATCCTTTCTTTCCAACCATGAACCTGACCAAGTTACAACCGTCAAAAGTCCTAATTGAAGCTGGTTTGTTTCGAAAGCATACTTCGGTAGAGATCGCGTCGAAACTGACTCCTAAAAGGATGTTTCTTACCCTATGGGTATGGATATTGATATGTCTGATAAGTGATTCGTTCGCTAAATGCCACAATTTTTCCAGTGAACAGACTTGGATCTCAAAACTGCCATATGCATTGCATTAACATTATCTTTTGCAAAACAATTTGTTTTACTTGCGAGAAAGCATTTGACATCAGGAAAGTTTCTACAATGCAAAGTTTGATAGAAATAAGATATAAAGCGTCCGAGTACTCCTTCGAGCAGGGGCAAGTCACGTCAGGTAAACGTAAGCAGAGCCGGTCATTCCTAGATGCAGTTAATCTGGGGCAATCAGGTTGAGACTCATCAAACCACTCGAAGGCCAGTCAAAGGCGCCATTCCCTAAGGTCCGTTAATCTGGGGCAATCAGGTCGAGATTAGGTAAATCTCTTGAAGTCAAAGGCACTTCTCCAATTCAGCCAATCAGGGGCAAATCACTTAAAAGCTGGGGCAGGCCACCCCAGGAGCACGACAACCATCCTTACCCAGAAAGGAAATTGACTTGAAGTACCTCTTCGGGGTTCGAAGCGCTGAGGCAATTCATATCTAACCATCAGGTTCCACAGGCTGGGGCAAAATTGGAAACAAAGGAGATGTGTTCCTCTCCATATCTTCAGAGCTTATCAGAATTATAGAAGCAGATTTGGGTTTATTTCCCCAGCAGTAGGGCGAGTGCAGTACTGTTATCCCTACAAAGTCTAAATAGTTGACTTCTTCCCCCTCAGAGTCTAGGTCATTGACTCATTCCTCAAACGGAAGTATTGTCGAAGTTTACTTCTCATTTTCCCCAAGCAGAGATTGATGTTGATTTCCTCCTTATCTAAACCCCAGCCAAATTAGCAGAGTTAATTTCCTTCCCCACAGAGTGGAACTGACTCAGAGATTGTTTATCTCCATCCCCCAGCAGAGATAGTTTGGGATAAGCTCCCAGTAAGTCTTATTCAAAATCCCAAGCAGATAGCGGATTCAATCCCCGACAGAATGAAGCTGTTCCTCAGCAATCTGCTGTGTTTCCCCAGTAGAGTTATTCTGGCTAATCATTCATAGCCGATTTCCCCGGTAGAGTGGAGTTGTTGCCTCCAGCCAAGTTGCTTGATCCCCAGAAGAGTTGTAGGCTGATAGGCCATCCGGGACGTCTTCCGCAGCAGAGTTTGATTTGGATCCCCAGCGGTTTGGTTTTGTTCTTAACAAGAGCGGTTTTACCCAGAAGTTTTTCTCGGAGGCCATCCAAGGCTTGTATTCCCCAGCATGAGTTTGTTTGCGCTAGGCGTACCTAGCTCTGACCCAACGAAGTTGGCTCTTTAGCATTTATCTTGCTAAAGTGGTTCATTTGCATCTACATACATGCATAACATCTACCCAAATGCGAAGCATTTCCATTTCGTATGGAGCATTTCGTCATATCCAAACATATGCATGCGAAACATAAGCCAGGTCGTTACCCTTTTGTTTCAAGTGAACCTCGCAGATGATTAGTATCTTTGCCCGTGTGTTGGCTAGACCCCAGCTCATGGTGTTTCCCCAACGGAGTTATTTTGTGATTATCACCAATGGATGGTCTTAATTTCGTTCGAATCTTGTTGCTCGCTTATATTTAGCGAAGGCTTGGCGGCGAGGTCAAGTGATTGGGTTCTCCAACGGCGATGTTGAGAAGTTTGTTTTGACGGCGAGGTCAAGTGATTTGGTTATCCAACAGAGATGTTGAGAAGTTTGTTTTGACGGCGAGGTCAAGTGATCTGGTTCTTCAACGGCGATTTTGAGAAGTTTGTTTTGACGGCGAGGTCAAGTGATTTGGTTCTTCAACGACGATGTTGAGAAGTTTGTTTTGACGGCGAGGTCAAGTGATTTGGTTCTCCAACGACGATGTTGAGAAGTTTGTCTTGGCGGCGAGGTCAAGTGATTTGGTTCTCCAACGGCGATGTTGAGAAGTTTGTTTTGACGGCGAGGTCAAGTGATTTGGTTATCCAACGGCGATGTTGAGAAGTTTGTTTTGACGGCGAGGTCAAGTGATCTGGTTCTTCAACGGCGATTTTGAGAAGTTTGTTTTGACGGCGAGGTCAAGTGATTTGGTTCTTCAACGGCGATGTTGAGAAGTTTGTTTTGACGGCGATGTCAGATGATTTGTTTATTCAGCGGCGAGGTTGGATGTTTGTTTCTGGCGGCGATGTCGGAATAATTTGTTTATTCAGCGGCGAGGTTGGATGTTTGTTTCTGGCGGCGATGTCGGAATAATTTGTTTATTCAGCGGCGAGGTTGGATGTTTGTTTCTGGCGGCGATGTCGGAATAATTTGTTTATTCAGCGGCGAGGTTGGATGTTTGTTTCTGGCGGCGATGTCGGAATAATTTGTTTATTCAGCGGCGAGGTTGGATGTTTGTTTCTGGCGGCGATGTCGGAATAATTTGTTTATTCAGCGGCGAGGTTGGATGTTTGTTTCTGGCGGCGATGTCGGAATAATTTGTTTATTCAGCGGCGAGGTTGGATGTTTGTTTCTGGCGGCGATGTCGGAGTAATTTGTTTATTCAGCGGCGTGGTTGGATGTTTGTTTCTGACGGCGATGTCGGAGTAATTTGTTTATTCAGCGGCGAGGTTGGGTGTTTTCGGCGGCGAGGTCGAGTGGTTTGATTCTTTAGCAGCGATGCTAGATGTTTGTTCTTGGCGGCGATGTCAGGTAATTTGGTTCTTCCAACGGCGATGTTGGATTTTGTCTTGACGACGATGTCGGAGGATCGTATCTTTGGATTCAATATTTGTTTGTATTTAACAGAGGTCTGACGGCGAGGTTAGATCTTTTTACCAACTTAATGTCGAGGCCTGACCGTGAGGTCAGATGCTTTTACCGATTATTTTAAGAATTGACGGCGAAGTCAAAACTGTTGGAAATGACGGCGAAGTCAGAAGATTATTTTAAGAATTGACGGCGAAGTCAGTAGATTGTTTTAAGAGATGACGGCGAAGTCAGGGACTTTACCAAAGTCCTGTGAAAAATTGACGGCGAAGTCAGAAAATATTGAAGACCGACGATAAAGTCAGTTGATTTATAATTTTGACGCTGAGATCTGACAGCGAGGTTAGATGCTGTTAAAGGAGCTGACGGCGAGGTCAGACGTTCTACTTAACATGGGTGCCTGGCGGCGATGTCAGAAGTTCGTATCGCGGTTGTCAAATTTCCGGGTCCTTGGGTATTCAACCGTCTTTTACCTTGAATGTATGAAAGTCGCTTACCTTTCATCCCTTCAGGTCTAAGTCGCTTGAATAGGGGCAGCTGTTGTACCCCAAAATTTGACCGACCTCTCTGGCTTATGTTTTATTTCATTGCATCAGCACATACATAAGCATTGCATTGCATAGCATTTTGCATTTTCACAGGGGATCGAGAAATGTGTGTCTAACCAAGATTACCGATGGTTTTTAACCTAATCAAGGGGATTATATTCAAGTCACCAAGTGGTTACCCTTATCGAAGACAAGTCGAGGTCTTTAAAGACAAACAGATAAGCATATGTGGTTGTCAGGGGCAGAAAAATCAAAAAAAAAAAACATATGTGGCTTCCATCATAAGATTGAGCTGAATTGATTAGGTTTTGGTTGGGGTTCATTAAGTAGGAATGAGTGAAGTATATGTCGAAGTCCAGGTTTGACTTAATTCATCAGCAAGAAAGGGATCTATTTTGTTATCAAGGTCAAGGTGCATTGATTTAAATGGTGTGTGACTAAAGCCCCAACCAGGTTTATGTACAGTGTAACGAAGTTCATATACTCAAAATAAATTGATGTTTATAAGAGGAAAGAGTCAATTCAAAAATAATGTCATTACACCACAAAGAATCCAAGTATGGCTAAAGTGAATAAGTTCATGGAGATCTCATAAAAAGGGCTTAATGAGGATTCTACAAAAGAGAGTTTATTGTTTTACAAAGCCCATATTGGTACAAAAGCATGACAAGAAAATTATACAAAATTATGGTTACACAAATTCAATTAAGCCCATGAAGCAATTCTACAGAGAAACATTACCATCCAAATTCAACAAAACCCATTGCTTTTTCTACAAAGGCCATGCTGTGATTACAAGCAAAAAGAAAAAAGAACAATTTCTAGGGTCTGCTATTAGCGTTCCAGAGCGAGCACACAGTCTTTGAACGTCCGTGTTTGAAGCCAAATCAATTCCATTCTTCCTCAATCGGATCTCGTCACTCTCCGATCTTCAAATCGCTAACAAAAATGGTCAGAGGTTCGCTCAGCAAACTCCTCTCCCGCTCTCTCTCCGTCGCCGGAAAATGGCAGAACCAACAGCTCCGCCGCCTCAACATCCACGAGTACCAGGGTGCTGAATTGATGAGCAAATACGGAGTTAACGTTCCCAGGGGTGTGACTGTTTCTTCAGTTGAAGAAACTAGAAAAGCCATCAAGGATGCATTCCCCAATCAAAGCGAGTTGGTGGTAAAGAGTCAAATTTTAGCTGGTGGACGAGGCTTAGGAACTTTTAAAAGTGGCCTTAAGGGAGGAGTACACATTGTTAAGACTGAACAGGTTGAAGACATAGCTGGGAAGATGCTTGGGTAGATACTAGTTACAAAGCAGACAGGTCCTCAGGGAAAAATCGTTAGCAAGGTTTACTTGTGTGAAAAGCTGTCACTTGTGAATGAGATGTACTTTGCTATAACTCTGGATCGTAAGACTGCTGGCCCACTTATTATTGCCTGTAGAAAGGGAGGAACTAGCATTGAAGACCTAGCAGAGAAATTCCCAGATATGATTGTAAAGGTACCTGTTGATGTTTTTGAAGGAATTACTGATGCAGATGCTGCAAAGGTTGTTGATGGTTTGGCTCCCAAAGTGGCTGATAGAAATCAACCAATTGAACAAGTGAAGAATTTATATAAACTTTTTGTTGATTCTGACTGCACCCTTTTAGAAATCAATCCCATGGCAGAGACAGCTGATAACCAACTAGTAGCTGCTGATGCTAAATTAAATTTTGATGATAATGCTGCATATCGTCAGAAAGAAATATTCACTCTCCATGATACAACACAAGAGGATCCCCGAGAGGTGGCTGCTGCAAAGGCAGATTTAAACTATATTGGGTTAGATGGGAATGATGGCTGCAGGTTCGTATGGTGTTCCTCAATTCAGGATGCGAGTCTTTCTTTGGGGAGCTCTTCCTAATGAAAAACTGCCTGTTTATCCGTTGCCAACTCATGATGTGATATCAAAATCAGTTGTGCCCATTGAGTTTGATGAAATTACAGTCACATATCCTCCTGAAGAAAAGCATCAGCTGGCTGATGCAGTTTTGCTTAAAGATGCATTAGAAGATCTTCCTGCAATTACTAATTATGAGGAGCAGAATGAAAGGAGCTATGGCACTAAACCTCGTACTGATTTTCAAGAGTATATCAGATTAAAGAGGAGTGAGATGGTGAATTTCTCGGCTCACTCTCAAAGTGCAACAAGTAGTACTTCATCTAGTGTAAACTAAGCTAGCATTGGGGACCATTCACCTCTCTTTCTCCCTCCATTTATGGCTTCTGATCAAAAGATGTCCCGCAAAATCCATAGACATGCTAATATTGGTAAAAAAACCAAGAACCTTCCTCCATTATCCAAGTCAAAACCAAATACAACCAAGAAAGATGATAGCAGATACAGATCAGACCAGATTTTCAGGACCACTATCCCACCCCAAAACACACCAGCCCACACTCCAGACAACTTCTGCACAACTGTACCGACAGACAAAACCAAGCCATAACCTGCAACTTCTGCTTTACCACACCACTACCCTGCTACAAACTCACACCAGACCAACAAACACACTCTGCTATGCTTTGACACCCATGCCAGACAAGACCTGCATAAGTTCACAACCAACACTTCAAAATAATGACACAAATAAAACCATACATAACATGAAAAAGAGAGAAGAAAAAAAAAACACTCATCTGATAGCCTTGAGACAATAACCTGCGGAATTGTACCGATAAAACCACCTCAGACAAAGCTCTGCAGAACCTGCTACACACACTAGCCTCCAAGGAAAATTACCACTCCTACTCCAAAACCTTCCCATAACAATAGCAGACAACAACCTGCTGTAAATGGTACCGCCAGTAAAACTTGCTGCCACAGCCCTGAACCAAGGATTATCATCCATATTATTCTTCAAAAAAAAGCAACATACTCATCTTTCCAACCTTACCCTTTAAACACCATCAAATAACAACACCAACTCAATCTTCTGGTAAAAAACCATCAACCTTGGGCAACATATCTCTCTCTCCTTCACGTAGCAGAAACAAAAATTCCATGAACTTCACCCCCTACTCTCTCTCACAACGGACTCTCTCTTTTTCTCTATGTTCCTGCGTGAACCACCTTCAAACACAACAAACACAACCCTCCAAAAACTTGCTTCAGCCCTGCATATCAACAACCAAATTCTGCAACACTCTGCAGAAAACACACCAGACTAAAAGTCAAACAAAAACCGCAATGGATACCTGCAAGAGAGAAAAAAAGAAGACAATAACTTGCTTCAGCCTCTCAACAAACCTTTGACAATATCCCTGTTCTTCCTTCGAAACCATTATGCCGACCTCAACTGTTTCTCTTCATCTTCATCTTTCTTAGCCCTAGCCGTCTACCTCTCAGCATCTTCTTCAATCACCTTCCAAAAATCACCTTCAAACTTCTCTTCAAACATTTTCCTCCACAAACCTTCAGCTCATTTTTCACCCAACACAATCCCCTTAACTCCATACACACTTATCACCATTAAAACCATCGATCAAAACCGCTCCACCATTTTACAAACACCTTCCAACTTCATCACAATCATTACCGAAATATCGTTCTTTAGCCGAAACTAGAACACCTGTAAGACAAACTGTGACAACCTCAAACTCTCAAAGCAATACTAATCTCCACTGTGACAACTCAATCAAAAATCGTAACCGGAAACTTGCCTTCTCCTTCAAACCCTTCATTTCCAACCCACTAAACCATCTTTTTTCCAAACACCGTGAATCACCGCAAAATCCCAAGCCCCTGTTCCTCCAACCGTCACCGTTTTCCTCTTCTCCTCCGCGTGCTCCCCTTCCATTTCACTTCTTCCACTGCTCAAACAAAACCATAGAACCGCTTCCGCCTCCTTCGACCTTCAACCAAGTCGAACCCCAATCCAAAACCTAATTAAAGTCACGAAATTAGAGAGAGATAGAGACGAAGGGATAGGGATTGAATGAATCGGCGATTGAACCAAGTACAAACCTAGAATTTTGTCGAATCATACGAGGAAGAGAGATTCATGTTTGTTACTCTTGATATCTCGACAACTACTTTCAAAACTCAGGTATCGTTGATGTTGTGGTGTTAGATCCGTCCCCAATTTCCTTTCCCTGTTTTTCTTTTCTTATTTTTTATTTATTTATTTTATGAATATTAATTCTGGTTTTGTTGTATATATTATTATTATTATTATTATTATTATTATTATTATTATTATTATTATCATTATTATAATATATATATATATATATATATATATATATATATATATATATATATATATATATATATATATATATATATATATATATATATATATATATATATATATATATATATATATATATATATATATATATATATATATATATATATATATATATATATATATGTTACTTTCTAAGTTTCATTTTATATTTTTTTTTTTAGAGCTTTAAAATTATTTCATATTAGAGTTTTGAGATTATTTTCTTTTAGAAGTTAATTTCATTTATTCTTTTGTTATTGGGCGTTTTGTCCCATTTTCTTTGTTTTGGGTCGATGACGAGACCTCCGTAATTCATTACCAGTCAAATTATTGATAAGTAATGTTGGATCTGAGACCACCTCTTTTCTCCCTCCATTACTTGTCCCGACTCGATTCAAAAACTTTGTCAAACAATTTTCAAAATCAAATTATCTTTGTATTGAATTAAAAAGAGGGGATTAAGTGTAGACTTTCTTCCTTTCCGAGTGTTGGGATGCCCACTGTAGTGAGGGTGGTTCCGACACTCGTCTTTCAATACAAAGACGCTTCCCGTCCATTTTCAAATCTCATCTCCTTAAAATCATTTCTTTGTGTTGAGCTAAAGAGAGGATTGGGTGTAGACCTCTTCTTCTTCGAGCATAGGGATGCCCACTGTAGTGAGGGTGGTCTCGATGCTCGTCTGTCAATACAAAGACGCTTCCAACGTTCCCTGATAAAACCTCGGTCTCGTACTGAGTATACTTTCCATAATAAACTAATTTCTCTTTGCATTGAATTGAAAAGAGAGGATTAGGTGTAGACCTCTTCTTCTCCGAGTGATGGGATGCCCACTGTAGTGAGGGTGGTCTCGACACTCGTCTTTCGATACGAAGACACGCCTTTATCCACCATCTCACTTTCACAACTTCCTTCCGCACCTTTCCCACCTAAAACCTCGGTCCTGTACCGAGTGCATTTTCAAATTCCTTTTCATACAAAAACTTGAATGGTCGTGGAGTGGTTAGGCGTAGGCCTTCTCCTATCCCGAGTACTGACGTTTACCGTAGGGTTCCCTGTCACAAAAGTACTTACCATTCAAAACCAAAAATATCTTTAATAAGAGAACGAAGTTCTCTTTGCATTGAATTAAAGAGAGAGGATTGGGTGTAGACCTCTTCTTCTCCGAGCGTAGGGATGCCCACTGTAGTGAGGGTGGTTTCGACGTTCGTCTTTCAATACGAAGACGCCTCGTTCGCCACACCCTTTTATAACAAAAACTTTGAGACAATGAATTGGGTACTACCCGTAGGGGTTACTATCCGAGGACCTGTCTCGCCCCCCTAAAAAGCAATCCAATCAATCAAACGTGACTTCTTGCCCCGCGCGGCGAAAACTAATCAATTTTTCAAAAGGATATGTTACGTCCGTTCTACCGCAAACAGGTAACGCCTAAGTCTCCAACGAGCGAGCAGCAAAACACCTAACTGCTAGAATGCGCGCGATAGCATCATCCGTAAAGACGTCAACACACTGTTAGCACGAACTACGTCTGCTCTGATTTCTCATACCAGATGAGAATACGTAGGCACAAGACGACGATGTCTTGGCGAACTCCCTTTTTCACCTTTCACCCGTAGTTGGCCGAACTACGGCTGCTCTGATTTCTCATACCAGATGAGAATACGTAGGCACAAGGGCCACAATCCTTGGCGAGCACATTCCCCCCATATCTGTAGTTCCCCGAACTACGTCGACTCTGACTTTCTCATGTCTATTGAGAATACGTAGGCATAGGACTGCGAAGTCCTACCGAGTCTGTTCTTTCTCTTTTTCCCTGTTCTCTCTTTCCTCCTAACTTTCCTGTTTCTAACCCTTCTTTTACCCTGTGGAACACTTCTTATAGCACAATATTTAAGCAAATAAATTCACACATCGACAAACAAAAGGTTCCCATCGAGTACGATGGATGCGAGGGGTGCTAATACCTTCCCTTCGCATAACCGGCTTCCGAACCCGTTCATGGTTGCGAGACCATCTTATCCATTTC